CTTCGCTAATATTTCTTTTTTTATTAATTTTAACTATTAAAATATTCAAATTTACTTATTAATATCATTGCTCAAATAAATTCTTTCACATTTTCATTTTTTTTTTCAACGCACTATGAATTTTAGCTTTTAAAAAATAATTCAATCAAAAATTTTTTTTGGATTATGACAAAATGAAAGATTTTAATGGTATTTTAATGGTTAAAATACAAATTGTAATGAAGCAATTTCAATTCCCATAAAATTCTACTCAGTCATTTTCTAGCACAACTCCAAATATGACATTGTACGCGATACAAAAATCTTCGACATCAATCAATTTAGGAACTACCACAAAACATATTTGCGCAATATGCGGTGATCGAGCATCCGGGAAACACTATGGAGTGTACAGGTAGGTGCATTCCATTTACAACTTTTGCGAAGAAAAAAACAAAGGTTATTGGTAAGGATTAAGAAATTAATGTGTTTCTTTACCTGAACTTTCAATAATATTACCTTTTATCAAAAGTTATAAATAATTGAAATCAGAATTTTACTTTGTTTTATTGCTTGCAATGATATCATATAATCTGAAATGATCTTTGCAAATTACAATACATTTATTCAGTATTATGCCATTTGATTTTTTTCCTAATTTATTATCAGCAAATATTGAGAGTAATTAAAACGTAAAAATGAAATGATATGACAATTATACATATTGAATTTAACAAGTAAAATTAAATTTTCTGAGTAAATAATATTCTCCAAGTTTACTAAAATTTAAAAAATTTCTGCTGCACAAATTTTTTCCATTCTTTTTTTCAAATTATCTTTTGGTTGTAAATTGTAGTTGTGAAGGATGTAAAGGATTTTTCAAGCGAACAGTACGCAAGGATCTTATCTATTTATGTCGAGAAAATCGTAACTGCATCATCGATAAGCGACAGAGGAACCGATGTCAATACTGCCGTTACCGCAAATGTCAAAGTATGGGAATGAAGAGAGAAGGTCGTTTTCAATAACATACTTTTCTATCCAATCTTTCCACTTTAATTTTTTATTCAAGAAAGATCAAAATTCATTGATTGTATATGATTGAAGAATTATATTGGTCATTTCAATTTTATTTCCAAAGAAAGTTTAGGGGATTTACAGACAGCATCGATCAGATATCTTTATGATTATTCACTTTGGTTACCATTAGTGTTAAGCGAGATTGAATTATTTTGAAACTTAAAAATTAGTTTGAAATGAAGTTGAAATGAAGTTAACGAAGAGTTATCGATTTGACCAATTAAAGTGAAACTTTAAGCATAGTTTTCTTATGATTATCAATTAGGTTGAAGAAGATTTCACTATTAAATAAATAACTCTCTACTTTCGAATAAATCTAAAATAATATGTAAAAGTTATTGATGCAAGTTAGCGTTGTTAATTCCAGGTACTTTTTGTGTAACACTTTTTGAATTTTAATCCACTCCACAAATTAATTTATTTTTCGGGAATGAATAAATAGAAGTGAAACATCTCTGGTTAAGTCCAGTTATTCAAAATTGATGCGTTATATTTCGAAATAACCTCCAATTATTGAAATATTATTTTAAATTGATCAGAATGTAGAAATTTTCGTTTATAAAAAAAATAAATTTTCGTTTATAGCAGTGCAAGAAGAAAGGCAAAGTTCAAGAGCGGATATAACTAAAGTGTTGAACATTGGTGGACAACGGCATATTACCACAAGTCAGATGGAAGCAGAAAGTACGAGTACTTATGGTGGTCTTGAAATTCATCTTGAAAGAATTGCTGCAGCTGAAGAAGCTTCTGAAGCACTTTTTAGTAATATTAAGGTAATTCAATCATTTATCTTCTAATTTATTTTTTAAATAATATTTGAGTGGGGAAATGGTAAGCAATTGATAAGGATTTCCTTAGCAATTCCTGATGAACTTTTCTATCATAAATTTAGTTATTTGCTCCCAGTTACTTAATTATGCTTCAATTCAAATTCTAAAATGAATAGTAGTAGTATTAATAATTCTTCATATATCAATATCTATAAATGAACAGTCAATTTAATGCCTTGCAACATTGAATCCTTTAAATTTTATCTTAATGTGACTTCTTTTGTTTTTTTGCTATTCCCTTCAAACAATTTTAAAAAAGTAAAAAAATGGGAAAAAAAGTTTAATTTTGATTATTCAATTTAATTTTATTTCTAATTTTTCAAATAATTAATTTTTTCCCGAGAATGATAATTTAAAGTGTTATTAACAGTCTATTAGAAGATTATTTATAGATAGAATCAAATGATATTAGCAGCTGTGAATCATTGGAATGGCAAATGATACGAATTGTAGAATGGGCTTTAATGTTGCCATCATTTAATGAAATTTTAGTAGAAGATCAAGCTCGATTGATAAGATTTGGTTTGTTTATTTGTTTCCCTACTTTTTTTCTCTCCATATGATTTAGGGTGAGTTAGAATTCCGGAAAGATATCAATGATATATAACTGAATGAATAAGACATTGATTATATATGAGAAGTTTACTCATTCTTTTCTTTCGTTACAAAATTAGAAATATTACAGAAGTGAACGAGATATTTCTATTTTTATGTTATGATAATATAATTAAATGATAATGTTATATGATAATTTATGTTGTGATAATCATGTTATGATAATTAAATGATAATCATTTTGTGCATGATGTAAAATGATATGATTCTTGAGAATGATTACTTAGCTTAGCTTATATTTGCAGCGCGAAATGAATATTTAATTAGATTAAACTTTTTACTATTAGACAAATAAGCACAAGTTGAAAGAAGTGTGGCAAATAAGATTATAGTTTATCTATATGGTTAGTACTGTTCGGTATTATCGGAATGATCTCAATGTACCAGATTTGTATAACATTATGTATAAGATTTTTTGAAATTTGAACATGAGTTTTAATGATTATTTTAGGATGGCATGAGCTGATCCTTGCCGATATAGCTTATCGTTCTACAATAAATAAATTGTTATTATGGCCGGAACGTGTAATGGAGAGGAATGATGCGGAAATTCTTGGTTACCGGATCATTTTTGATCGAATCATCAATGAGCTCACCGTCCGAATGAAAGATCTGGATGTGGACCGAGTGGAAATCGCTGCCTTGCGATGTGCTATTCTTTATAATCCAAGTAAGTTTTTGAGGGAAAAAAGTAAAATATTATAGGAATAACGAAATAGTCAGATTACTGTATGAATTTTGAATTTTTATGAGTTTAAATCAGAGAGATGTCTCTAACAGTGAACGCCAAAATTTGCCATATATTAAGAAAAAAACAATAAAATGTGTTATTGATAGTTGACAAAATTAAATTTTGGTAGGTGTTAGCGGATTGCGGAATGTGTCAGTGGTGGAATCATTACGAGATAAAGTGATGGTATGCTTGGAGGATTATTGTCGACAGCACCATCCTGCACAAACTCAACGCTTTGCCAAATTATTGTTACGAATGCCAGCGTTGCGATCTCTTAGTTTGCACTGTGCTGAAAATGATGGTTTTATAATAACTGCACCTAGTATTCAGGTAATTTCTTAAAATATCACCTGAGTACACCTATGATACATATCGCACCCTATGTTCTTGTTTTAAGCAAAAATTCAAACTTCATATAAAATGTAAGTGAACGTGTAAAAGCGTTAGAACATCTTTCTTGGACTAAAAAGAATACTAACTGAAATTCACCGGCGTAAATCTACGTCTTTATTGTATTTCAGGATCTTATTAGAATATTAATTCAACGCCAAAACGTACAAAGAAATCTGTGATACATTCCGTTTTCAATTTTACATATTTTGGGCCAAAGATCTTTTTTTCTTTTTCTTCTGCAATACCAGACCAATGCATTCCATTACCTGCTTCATGTGCTTTCACCATTTCATACCAAATGTATCCCTCCCTCACTTATTATTAGCAGCAATGGTTTTTTTCTTACTCTTTTGCTTAAAATACAGGAAGTGAAAGAATTTTTTCGTCCCGCAATGTTTTTCCTGCAAATCTAGGTCGGTATTAGTGATAATGCCAAGATCACAGAATATCATCTGGAAAAACCTTTAGAGATATTTTGGATAATATAGCACCAAGTGAAACGTTGTAAATTGATGGAATCAGTGTTTATTAAATTGCCATTGCTGCTCGATAGTCTTTTTTTCCTTTCAAACGTATTGTTGTCATAAAATCAACAATAATAAATATTTCAACATTATAACTACATGTATGAAATGTGTTACCAATATCGGAAATGGTATCATCAGCAGAAAATAAAATTTTTGCTAAATTTCAAAATATATTTCGAAATCCTACGTAAACTAGTAAAAACTTAATGGCTGTTCTGAAATTGTTGTATTAACAAAGCAAAATCACACACTTGAAGTACTACGAAATTTTCATTTACGAAACACTTCAAAGCATAAAATTAATCAGCAGGCATAAGGACGAATCAAAAATCCTACTTACACTTTATATTTTTTATTTCAAAATTAGTTCTCAATTTCTTTGGATATAAAGAAAATCAAATGTACCAGAATTTTATCCATAACAACTTTCACTAACAACTTTGGAAAGATCTAAACTATATCCTTTTCAGTATTCAAGCCATTTTAAATTTCTCAGCAATTTCAAGACTTCCTACAAAAATACAGAATAAATTTAATTTGGTCATCTAATTCTCTAACTACTCATGGCAGTGTTCATTCCCCGACATCTATTTTTTCAGAGCGACAGGTTTTTAAAGGGAAAAAATTAATTCTGATTGGTGTCAACCAATACCCGTTTCATAAGGCATGGTACCTCCAAAAAAATCATCGAAAATCCTAAAAATACCTGAGACAACTCTCACAGCACAAAAAATATTAAAGAACAAAGAAAATTGTAACTCCAAAAATATAAGAAAAACAAAAAGTAAAACAATTTGTAGCGAAGAGAAAAAACAAAAGTTTGATGATATAATGGCTAACAACTTATTGCATAACAAGAAGCTGCTTTATCCCCGACGAATTCATCGCATTAGTGATTGCCACTTTCCAGTCTTCAAGCTTTGATCTACCGCTTTTTGGTGGACGAAGTTTTCCATGTTTTATCAAGTCCTGCAATTCTTCAAACATTGCTTCGCGATCCTAAAAATGAGTTAGAAGAAATTTGAAAAGAATCATCCAATTAGATGCAAAAATTTTGATGGGGTAAAAAGAACATTGCGAATTAGTTTAAAATTACCAGCAAGGTAAACATTTTCAAATTTCATATAATTTATAGAAGAAATGCATAAGTACAACTTTCTACTTTAAATAAAAAAAAGAAAAAAAAGTAAAACAATTTGTAGAGAAGAGGAAATATACAAAAAATCAGGAAGTACATTTAGAATGCATTCGGAAAGTTTACTTTGTATTTGAGTAAAAACTGCAAACTTGTTCTTACTTTGGTCATGTGCCATTCCAAATTCACGTCAAAACTCACTTATTAATAATTCAACTAGAATCCCGAATTAGTAGTGAAATATTACTTTATATCGTATTATAACCTTCGTTGTTCTTTTGTAGGTGTCACCTGGACGTGTTGTTTTCACGAATATTGTCTTTTAACTTAATATTGCCTACAATGTTTTAGCAAAAAATTATTTGTTCATTGTTTATTATTCAACAAACATCTTAAATGAGCATGATCTTTATCCCGCGATGAAAATATGGAATTCGTATGATTCAATTGACGCAAAATGTTGATCTAACTAATCAGAAAAGCTAAAAAAAAAACACATACACGGAAAGTGCTCGGTGAACGATTTGTTTCAATCAAAGGTTTTAACAAACATTCACTCTTTACAACCGATATTTTATTGCTAAATGCATTTGTATCTCAAAATACTCGATTTAAGCCACATTTAAACAGAACTTTAAATTCACAAAAAGTCGACGCTATATTACAAGTTTGCAATACTTAAGCAATAAATAATGAATGATGATGATTTCGAAAGCATATTATTATGCAATGATATAACGAGAGATTAGAAGCGAAAATTATATTATGTAAGGGAAAATGCGTGAAAATTAAGATGCAGAACGAACCTTTTCGATACCTCGAGTTGTGTACCACTGAGAGATCCAAAAACCCACCAATTTAATATCTTTAAATATGAATGGTCCAGTTGGAACCTAAAATAAATATTGATTTTTCACTGTAAAAATCAGGAGATTATGGCGATTTTTTCAACAATTTCACTTCAACTATGGTTTAAATCAATGCAAAATTATAGAAAACCCTGCCTCGATGGGCTTCTTGCTCATTCCACCATAAGTAACCATTACTCCCTTATTGGAAAGACATGTTGCTAACATCATTGCACTCCGGCCACCGATACAATTCAGCGCTAACTGAGCATTTTTAACCTGAAAGCTCAGATAACAAATACTTTCCAATTAAATCAAACTTCTAAATAAGTTTTCGTGATGATTTATTTCAGGACTAGTAGCATGAAAGAATGGAATAAGAATTAGAAAAGTAGCATGAAAGAATGAAATAAATAAAAAACAAGAAATGTCAAATTCATGAAATACAACAACCTGATTTATAAGCACTTCGGGACACAATAATATTAAATATTTTAGCATATCGGAAGGCATCGCTGCTGCCGATAAACTCTCAAGATCTATTAAAATTTAATATGAAGGCGTAGCATCTCGAGTTATATCTATTGCAAGCCAACAACGTGAGCTAATCAAAAAATGAAACGTTATCGCAAATGTTTTTGCAGTAGGAATTTCATTTACAGTGATTAAAAGAAGTTGAAAAAAAACTTACTCTATTACCTGATTCTTTTCTCATTTCTTCTTCCGCAAATACTTCATCAGCACCAATTTCTTTTAATTCTCGGACGAGTGCATCAAGATTTTCACGATTACGTACAAAATTCACAGTTCGAATACCCCATAATTTGCACAGCTGAACTACAACACAAGTAGAAAGGCTTCACATAAAACATGCGAAGACTTCGAGTTTTATGATGAGATGCTATTCCTTGAGATTATAAATCAAAAGACAATCTTTTTTGACACATAACCTCTATTGCCAGAATGAGAATTTTACCTGTATTACACAACGACCAACACTCGAATTTGAACCGTTTTGTACAACCAAATCACCAGCTTTTAAATTCACGAAGTCTTTCAACATTCTGTAAGCTGTTGGGGGATTGACCTAAAA